TGCCATCGGCGCTGAAGGCGATGAGGATAAGGAGGGATGGATACATGGCGCGCTCGACTGCTGCGCCCCTCGCCCTCTGAAGGCCCCGCAGGCCGGTCTGCCGTGGAAGCCCCGCCGGCCTCGATCCAGCATTCAATCCGCCGGCCTCTCGGCGAAGATCGGATCGCCCAGCGGGTCGCGCGTCGGGTCGATCGGGAAGGGGCAAGCGCGCGACCTCGGCAAGGTCAGCATCTTGGAAGGGTCGATATTCTCGAAGACCCCGCGGCCTGCCTCGAAGGCCACGATCGCCCCCAGGTCGTCAAAGGCCTCGGTCGGCACCAGGATATGCATGCCCCTGGCGTCGATCACGTGGACGAGGTAGGAAACGAACTCGTCTTTCGCCAAAGGGGGGAACCTGGCTCGGCACAGGGCCCGCCCGACCTCACCGCCGTCGAACTGGGCGGCCCTGGCGGCCCATTTCTATCGGAGGATGATCTCGAGATACTTAGATGTCACTCAGCGTCTCGACTACCTCGACCCCTCCGACGGCGCGGGCCCGCAGCCCATAGTGGCACGCCCGGTTGACGACGTCCTCTCCACGAGCGGGCCGCCCGCACCTCGGGGCCGCCGCAGTCCGCCACGTTGCCGACGTCATCGGCATCCTGCCCCTCGTCGCCCTCCACGTCGTTGCAGGCTTCGGCTGTCAAGACCAGGCCAGTAAAACTGCCGCCGCCGCAAGTCCTGCCAGCGGCACCACGCATATCGTTCAGCTACGGGGCGGCCTTGTCCGGGCACGCTCCACTGCGATTTGGTGGCCTGCGATTGAGGTCAGTGCCCTGGCGACCGTCGCCTCTCTGACCTCCGCCATTGCTGAAAAACTTCATACCCGCCCTGTGCTTGTTGACCTGCTGTCCAGCGTCTTGGAGACGCCGCTGGCTCGCCTGGAACTGCGCGAAGGCCTCCTCCTCCTCGTGGACCGCTGTCGCGCGTGCCTCGTCACTGGCGTCTTCCCCCTCGCCTTCCTCCCCAGACGCCGCTGTCAGCACGGCGTCCTGCGCGTCGTCGCTGTGCGTCATCGCTGCAGAAGGGCGCCACCGCCACCTGCTGGCGAATGAACTTGGACTTCAACTAGCCCCTGTCTTCCAGATTCCCGCCACTTAGCCACTGGGCCCCCAGCGCAATCTCGACGCTCTCGACGGTGGGCTATCCTCGGCAGGATCCGATTGCCGCGGCGATCTCGTCGCCATCCAGGCCTGCTCGGCGTAGTAGGTACCGTCACTAACAACATTCAGGAGCATCTCTGGAAGGTCCTTGGTGGGCAAGGCGCAGTGGCTGCCACCGTCGTGGACTGGGCCATAATTCCACTTCTGCCAGGCGTTGCCTTTCCACCCAGTTCAGTGCTCCACCATGCCTGATATTCAAAACCCAATCTGCCCCAGGAACGTGCTGGTCTCGAACATCGGCCTCGTCTGCTGCCTCCCCGCCGCAGGCGCCCTCAACACCTGCGTTCGGCACCATGTACCATGAGGCACCTGTCGTAGGCCATGGACTGAATGAAGCAGCGTGGGCATTGGGTGTCTCCAATGAAACTGAGGCACCCTTCCTGATCATCCTGGCGAAAGCCACTCGGAGACGTTGGTAGCGCGCGTGAACTCGCAAGCAGCACTCCGCCATGCCTTCACCGCCCCGACAGCGCAACTTCACAAACGACTCCTCCATGCAGTGTCCGACGTCCTCGGCCGGCTGTCGCATCATGCTCTTCTGTAAGACCTCCAGCAATGTATCAGCACCCCACTAGTTTGACAAACAACCGCGTGGTCGACCGATGCAGGCTGCCGCAGCGGCTCCGGACAGGCGGGCGACCAACCTGGGGCCGCAAAAGCATGTCCCCCCACTTCGTGCCGCCGACGTAATTCATCACACCTTGCTGGTACTTATCCCAGGTACTGGCGCCGCCATTCCAGGTTGGCACCGCCTGGGTCTTTGTTATCTCCATGGAGCTGAACCTGCTCTCCTACCATGTGAAACGAAGCTTCACACAGCGCGTTCCTTTTTTTCCATTCCCGTGGCCGACTACTGTCGGCCACCAACTCGTGGGCACCCTCCAGGCACCACTCGCACTCTGCGCGCGCCAGCACTGAGAATATGAGAGAGGGAAGTTGGTATGGAATGTAGTTATTGGGCTCGATAGGTAAGGATCGGAAGGCGAGGGGGTAACTCTTTCCCCATGGGTTCCTCTGGCCCCGCTGAGGGCCTGCAGCCAAATTGCTATGGACGGAGCGAACCAAGCCAACATCGAGCAATCGACAGACCGGGGAGAAGGGGAAAAGCACGTCTGGATGGCGTTGTCCGATTCCTGGGCGATAGCGGGCGTTACTGGGCGCGGGCGAGGCGCCGGTAGCGCCACGTTTCGCGCCGGCGCCGTCTGGGACGGTCTAGGAATAGCCAAAGCCAACTTCGAGGTCAGCACGAATCGTGACGTAACTGGGGAGGAAGGGAGAAAGGAGCGGCCAGGGCCCGTAACGGCCGCTATCGCGAATAAGATTTAAAACAAAAGCGCTCTCCTGGAGATCTCGACCCCTCGAAAACCTCCCACAGGCTTCGAACGCCACGAGGCCCCTCCCCCACCCCCGAGCGCACAAAAAAAACGACCACCGCATCCCTCGGGCCCCGAGGCCCCTCCCCCACCCCCAAGCGTCCTAAAAACCGACTGCCATATCCCTCGGGTACCAGTCCGGCCCGTTTTCCGAGCCGCGTCCAGCCGTGGCGACGACGGGGGCCTCCCACAGCTCCCCCAACAGAAGGAGGACCCCCGAGGTCCAAGCGAGGGCCCCCAGAGTCCGAGCCGCGTCCAGCCGCGGCGACGAGGGGGGGGGGGGCCTCCCACAGCTCCCCAGGAAAGGAAGGAGGACTCCAGAGGACCCCGCGGAGGCCGCCAGAGGACCCCATGCCGGCTACAACCCTGCCTTGCCTGGAGCCGCCTCTGCAAGGATCGGCGGCGCGCCCGGGGGGGGGAAGCGAGAGGGGGCGGGCCTCCTCAGGAGGCTCGGAAATCCTCGGGCCTTCTGAGGCGTGTTCGAAGCCTTCCCCGAAGACGCAGAAAACTCCACAGAAGGCCGGAGGGATTCGCAGAACCCTGGCCGCCTTCTGAGAAGGCCTCCTCCTTCTCGCTTCCCCCCTCGCTCGCCGCCGCAGGAAGAACCCCCACGCTGCTCATCGGGATTCCAACGAGCTCGGGTCGGGGCAGGCCACGTGCCTGCGCCTGCGGTGCAGAAGGATCCTCGGGGCGAGCCTCGAGGAACATCCCTGGGCCTCGGGTCGGCTGCGCGCAGGAGTGGCCATGGGAAAGAGTGGCCCTGAGGATTTTCGGGTAGAGAGGAGGAGGAGGAGGAGGAGGAGGAGGAGAAAGAGGAGGAGGAGGAGAAGGAGGAGGAGCACGAGGAGGAGGACGAGGAGCAGGAGGTAATCGAGCGACGGCTTTGGCATCATCGTCGCACTCGGGGAGAAGGGAGGAACCAGAGAAGAGAGAGGAGGGAAAGAAAGGGAGGGAGGATGAGGGGGAGGAGCAGGAGGGAAGAAGAGGACGAGGATAAGGATGAAAATGATTAGAAGGCGTAAGAGGTTGCGAAGACGAGGAGGCGGAAGAGGATGGGCGATCCTAAACTCCCACAGTGAATTCTGGAGGCCTGGATCTGTTTCCGAAAGGCGCGGGACCAGGGCGACAACGACGACGACGATGACGTCGACGAAGCCTACGGCTACAACTACGACTACGACGACGACGTCGACGCCGACGCCGCCGGCGCCGACGACGACAATGACAAGACGACGACGAGACGACGACAAGACGACGACGAGACGACGACGAGACGACGACGACGACGACGACAACGACGACGACGACGGCGACGACGGCGACGACAGCGACGACGAGACGACGACGACGACGACGACGACGACGACGACGACGACGACGACGACGACGACGACGACGACGACGGCGGCGGCGGCGGCGGCGACGGCGGCGGCATCGGACCGAGGTCGACGAGCAGAGGACACCGAGCATGCAGAGAAGTCATTGATGGCCCTGTTTTCCACCACCACTACCATAGATAGAAGATGGAGGAGGGGGAGGAGGAGAAGGGGGAGGAGGAGGAGGAGGAGGAGGAGGAGGAGGAGGAGGAGGAGGAGGAGGAGGAGGAGGAGGAGGAGGAAGGGAGGGGGAGGAGGAGGAGAAGGAGAAGGAGGATGAGGAGGATGAAGAGAAGGAGGACCTCACCATCCTCCTCTCCCCCGCGTCCTACTTATGGTAGCGGTGGTGGGAAAGTGGCCCATCAGTCATGGGGCAGGACGGGTGCAGCGGCGGAGGAGGCGCCAGCGGGACAAGGGCGAGCCTCGCGGGGGATGCACCACGGGGCAACATGTTAGGGTGCAGCTCCTGGGAGATCTTCGTCAGAACGATGAAGGGCTATGAATAAGCCTGATTGGAAGGCCATTGGGCTGGATCAGGCCGGGTTAAAGATAGGACTAAGCCAGCTCAACTGGGATCAAGCCGGGGGAAGCAGGATTAAGCCGGATCGAGCGGGGTCAGGCGGGGCTAAATCAGATTAGGCCGTTTTTCGACCAGGAAAAATCCAGCGCCGACTCAAACTTTCACCTCCCAGGCGTTGCATCCTAGGGAACGGTAGCGTCAGCGTCAGCAGCAGCAGTCAATCGGCGGCGCGCCCAGGGGAGACAGGCAGAGTGGGCGGACCTCCTCAGAGGGCTCAGAATGCCTCTGGCCTTCTGAGAAGCGTAAGGTGAGGGCATTGGATAAGGAACCCATGGATAAGGAATCCAGGGTCTGCAAGACGGTGGAGAACCAATTGAGGCTTGCGCCGCCCTGATCATATGAGGAAACCTCCAGGGTCTGAAACCTCCTGGGCACACTCCTTAACGCACGCCCCCACAATATCAAGCCTCCTCCGAAGAACCGCTTCCCTCACGCCGCCGAGTCAAAGGACGGCAGCGGCACGGACGTCCTGCATATTGAAGCCCTTCCACATGAGGCGTTGGCTCTGCGCTGGGCTACCCTCCACTCTCGCCAGCTGCTCCTTCAGGAGCGCCACCGTGTCTGCCAGGGTCACTTCCAGGCTGAAGACGTCCCCACGCTGCGTCTTGACGTACACCTGCCAGGGCCCAGCCCAGTGGGGGAGCGATTTCTCGAACCAAGCAGGCGGAACAGAAGCGAACAAAATTAGTCATGTCGGATCCTGCTCCTCCTCCTCCTCCTCCTCCTCCTCTATCTCCCCAGACTCTCTGCCCTCCACCCTCGAACCCCCTCTGTGCCTCCTTCTCCTCCTCTCCACTTATACACCCACCTGTTTCTCCTCATTGTTTACCTCCTCCTCCGCATCCTCTTCTTCTTCTTATTATTATTAAAATAATTATTATTATTATGTTTATTCTTATTATTCTTCTCATCATCATCATCATCATCATCATCATCATCATCATCATCATCATCATCATCATCATCATCATCATCATCATCATCATCATCATACTCGTTCTCCTCCTCCTCGTCATCATCACCATCATCATCAGCATCATCATCATCATCATCAGCACCATCATCATTATCATCATCAACATCATCATAAACATCATCATCAGCATCCTCACCGTCATCATCGTCATGATAGCATCAGCATCATCCCTATCGTCATCATCCTCATCCGCAGCAGCAGCAGCATTATCATCATGATCGTCATCAGAATCATCAGCATCATCGTCATCATCGTGAGCAATCCGTCTCAAAAGAAATCCGTCTCAAAAGAAATCGCTGCGACGGCTGCCGCCAAGCCCTCAAATTGTTCTCCGGCCGTTCAGACCAAAGCGGAACAGCGCGACTGGTCTCACGACGGCGATTGTGCACTACATGGCTCTTTGGTCAACGCTATTCGAAGTCCTGCTAATTTCTATTAGGGGCAACTCCTTGGAGGTCTTCGCACGAACGATTAATGGCGATTGAGCCTAATCAAGGGGCCACTCTGAACCGAACTAAATCGGATTACGCCCAAGAGTAAGCCAGACTCAACGGGATTAAACGGAATCCAACGCGAGTATGCCAGACTATGCCTGTGCTTTTTGTTTTCGCCGGAGCTCGTAAGTTCAAGTGCAAATGAGCTATCTGATCTGATGTAAAAGTTGGAGCCGACGGCGAGCCCATAGGGCAAAGTACCCATGGACGCGTCGCCATCGGTCATGCGGCGGGCGCGTTCCTACAAACACGGCGCAAAAGAAAAAAGCCCAGAAACGTCCCCGAGGCGATCCTCTTGGGGAGGGGCTCACCAAATAGGAGCGACGGGAAGGGGAGAGGAAGGGAGGGAAGAGGCAGGAGGGGAGGAGGGAGGAGGGAGGAAGGGATGTTGACATTTACTGCCAAAGACCCATCGGAAAGGGCAGCAAGCATCGGAAGTTAACGGACTTCAATGCCGTCCAAATCAACGGTGACTCATTTCCTCTTCGGGTGGAGTCCGTTGCTGAGTTTGGACCACAATTCACTTCTGCGAGCGTTGTGAGAAGACCAACTCTTGTCTGCGGGTCCTCATTCTACCTGCGCGGGCGCACGGGAGGAGAGTCGGGCCTGACAAGGGTCCCCCAAGCCACGCAACTTATCTCCAGATGTGTAGAAACACAGCTGGCAGAACTTCCATCGCTGCAGTCCGCAACGATGCACCGATGCCTAAGATCACGCAGTCTCTGCGGATATACGTTGAGCCTGCGGGCACACCTCCCTGGTGGAGGCTTTACAAGGAAGATCAACTGCCAGCTGCATCAGAGGACGCGTTGGTTGCGTCAAGAAATTGAAAAACTGAGTGCTGCAACGGCCCGAAATCGAAACGAGACGCATCAATGCTCCTATACGGCTATTCGCATATGGGCGTAAGCGTGCTTTGCATCCCGAGGGTGGTAAGTCCCCTGCGTACTGGTGCGACTCGAATGGCGAGAATAAGGAGGAGCAACAAGATGAGGATACGGAGAGATTAGCACTTGGGAGCAAGGAAGGAGGGCTGGAGCATCGCGCCTCAAAACGACAATCCCACATAGCATCCGGGGGAAAACAAAATCGACAATCTGAGCACGCAAACGCCCGAATCGACAATCTGAGCCCGGTAATGCCCGGTTCGACAATCTGAGCACAGAAACGCCCCAATCGACAATCTGAGCACGGGAACGCCCGAATCGACAATCTGAGCACACAAACGCCCGAAGAAGGAATCTGAGCACGGAAACACCCGAATTGCCAGAATTCAAATGTGAGCGTGAATTTTTTGAACTCTTTTGGTGTCTCCTCCCCGTTCCTCCCGTACCTCATCCCTCACACCCTTATCGCCTTCGTGATCTGGTCCCGGAGTACTCCACTGAGGAGGATAGTTTTTAGCATCACGATGTGACTACGCATGGGTGGCGCGTTTTTCTCTTGAACTGCATCTCTTTTTTGGCGCCCTCCGCTCGCAGATTCATGGCGACACACATCTGACCAAGCACCTTCATGCCTGAGGATGTTGTCGTCCGATGCTCTACGAGAGCACGGGACTTGGGAAGCTGCTACTCTGACCTCCCAGGCGACTGCACGAAGTCTGCCGAGAAGGCAACCAAGCACACTGCAGAGGAGGAGGAGGAGGAGGAGGAGGAAGAGGAGGAGGAGGAGGAGGAGGATAAGGAGGGAGGAGGAGGGGGGCGAGGAGGAGGAGGAGGAGGTGGGCGTGGAGGAGGAGGAGGAGGAGGAGGAGGAGGAGGAGGAGGAGGAAGACGAGAAGGCAACGCATGATCATCGTCTTGCGCAGAGGCTCTTACTTCGGAGGTGAGGGCAGAGAAGATGCGCGTGGGAGCATGTGCGAATACAGCTGCCAAAGCTTCGCTCCTGGAGCCCCTCGAGCCTCGGGGGGGAGTTGGCGACCGACGGCGACGCCCCGCTTTGGGCTTAGGTCGGGCGTGTCCTCCTGCAGGCGGATTTTATACGAAAAAATCAGAATGCTCAGAAAATACTTTAAACAAAGATTCAAAAACAGCCGAAACATCGTCCTCAGACTATTTGTTCACTATCTTTGGATCTTCCTCCTGTAGAGGGACAGGCCCGACTTAACGCTTGGCATAAGAGCCGATCAGAGGCCGAAGCCGCGCTGTCCGGCACCGGGCAAGAAACACACACCCCTGCGGCTCGGAATGCCCAGCCGCTGGGGCGGGGAAAATCAGACGCCGACGTCTGAGGACAAAACGCAGCTGCACAAACATACACTGCAGCTGCTTCTTCTTCTTCTTCTTCGACCAGAACGGTCACTGCCGCAAGCCGGCTGGCGATTCCCGGCTGACGTCGCCACAGGAGTCACGACCCAGCGTACAGCTCCAGCCCAACTCGCATGTCGGACTCCGTCCACACTGGCGTGTTGAACACGGACAGCAGAGAATGGCCGGCTGAACAGGTGGAGGCAGCGCTCGAGCCCTTCGTCGCTCCCTTTGGTGACTCCGATTGGTCGCTCTGGCCCAACTGGCGAGACCTGGGCGTGCTGAAGCGCGTCTGGATTGTCAGGGGACGTCGCCGAATGTGTACTTCATCAACGGCAGGTGACCTCGGAGCCGGCATGCCCGCACTGAGCATGGGCCTTCACTGAGCTGGCTGAAAACAGGACTGCGCTTGTGTCAAACTGACCCTTGAGCCAAAATGGCTACGGGCCAGACTACGCCTGCTTTCGACCACGGATATACCAGCGCTGAGGCATACATCGCCCCATTCCCTCAATTCAAATTCCGAAGACTCGTTTATATGGCTTTCTCAGCGTCCGAGACGGCCCAGGAGGCCCCCAGGATCGCTCCAGGACAGCCCAACAGGCCCCCAAGACAGTCCCAAGAAGGCCTCGGAGAGCCTAAGGTCGGCCCCTCCCCGCAGGCATCCACGAGGCCTCCGAGCTACAACATAAGCACGGTGGCGCCATGGGCCGAAGGCCACCAGATCCGCCGGCCCTCGTTGATTTATCACAGGGGTGCCTGGCGTGCTAGATGTTTGGGAGATTCTCTGCTGTTTTCTCGAGAACTCTTCGGCGGGCTTCGGCCCAACCCGCCGGCCACCCGAAAGGCCGCCGAAAAACCCAACTCCATCTGCCCTATCGCCTCAAGGACGGCCAAGATGGCCCAACGTCGCCTCCGAAATGCCTCCGAGATGCATCAAGGACGACCAAGATGGCCCAAGATGGCCTCCCAAGACGGTCCCGAGACGCCTCCGAGACAGCCAAGAGGGCCCCAAGACGGCCCCCAAGAGGTCCTCCAGACGGCCCGCGAGGCCACTAAGACGCCCCAAGTGGGCTCCAAGAGGACTTCCAGGAGGCGAGAACCCGATGTTCCCAGAAGAGCCCAGAATGGACTCGATCAGTCGGACCACCGATCAAAATGAATCGGATCGGCGGAAATCGGCAGCCGAGTAGGGAAAAGTCGAATCGGCTGAAATCGGCAGGCTAGTACGCCTGCAATAAGATATCGGAACCAAAATCGGACTCCCAAGTCGGACCGAATCGGAATCAGAAGCAGTCGAAATCGCATCGAACAGAACCGGAGGAGCCGAAACGAGCCCTGTGTTCCTCATATCGTTGAATGATTGAAGCATTCTCGCCTCTTCGGACTCCCGACGCACCACGACAGGTCCGCGAGGCCCCCAGATCGCCCCAGGACGGCTCAGGAGGCCCCCGAGAGGCCCGCAAGACGGCGCCGCAGGGCCCCAAGGCAGCCCAAGAGGCTCCCAAGACGCCCCCAAGACGGCCCCAGAGACCTCCCAGACGGCCCTATAGCGCCCAAACAGGGACCCACGATTGCCCAGGAAGGGCCCAAGACGGCCTCCAAAGGCCAGAAGGCTCCCAGGAGGCCCCCAAGAGGTCCCAGGAGACTCCCTTGGACTCCCCCCCGAAGCTCCCAGAAAGTCCCCAAGAGCACCAAGATGGCGTCAAAGGCACCCCTCTTCTTCCTCTTCCGCTCTCTCCTCCCTCTCCTCCTCCTCCTTCCTCTTTCTCTCCCCGGTTTTCCCCAAAGGGGATCCACAGCGGCTGGTGAACACACACAGTCCAACATCTTGGCCTCACCTTGGCCCAGCGTTCGACCGCGCGGGCGTTTCCAAAAGGCACGAGGCGGCGTTGATTTGCCGCAGGCGTCTTCGATCCGCCGCCCCCTGCCGAGTTATCGAAAGTGGTGCCTGGTGTGCTGACTTTCTGACCAGCGTTGGCTCTTTCCCGAAGAATTCCCCCCAAAAAGGATCTCGGCACAACCCGCTGGCCACCCAGAACAATCTTCCAGACCCGGTCGGCGAGGATCTTGTCCGCTCCCGATTGCTCCAAGTTCTTCCAATATGGCGTCCAAGACGGCCAGGATGGCCTCCAAGACGGCGACTCCGAGTTTCTTAATAAGCGTCGGGGGGGGCGTCACCCCCGCCGACAGCCCCACATCGACCCCCGTCGCGGACAGCCACCGTGCGCCGAAGGCGCTCCGAACCCCGTCGCGGCGCGACGACGAAGCGAGGTTGACCCCGGTGGGGGGGTACCTCCCCACGCTTATTAAGAAACCCTGAGTAAGGTGGCCCATGATGTCCTCCAAGACGTCCCTAGACGCCTCGTATACGGCCAAGATGGCCCCAAGACGGCCCCAAAAGACAGCCCGAGAGACCCCCAAGACAGTCCTGAAGCGGGCCCCGAGACGGCCTCCCAAGGCCACGAGGTATCACAGAGGCCCCTAGAGGCCCCTACATAAGAGGCCCCAGGAGAACCCCCAGAGGTCCCAGGAGGCTCCCTAGAGGCCCCTTGGAGCCCCCCAAGAGGCTCCCAGGAAGCCCACACGAGGCCTCAAGAGGGCCTCAAGAAGTCTCCTCTTCTTTCTCCTCCTCATTATCCTCCCTCTCCTCCTCTTTTTTATCTCCCCCACGTGTGCCCGCTTGGGCTACCACAATGGCTGGGGAAACATATTGTCCGATCGCTTCGCCAAGCTCTGGGCGCAACGTTCGGCCACGTAGGCGCTGTCACATAGCCACATGGGGTAGCGGTGATTCGCCGTATGAGCAACAATCACACTAGAAAATCTGGCAGGGGTCCCCAATCGAGCAACCTCTATGGCTAGCTAAACAAGTGGCACGTGTGCCATGGCTCTTGCACAAAAAGGAAAAGGGAGGAGGAGGAGGAGGTGGAGGAGGAGGAGGGGGGAAGAGGGGGCAAGACATCGCCCCTCGGGGCCCAATAACGGGGCCCAAATCCCAGGTGGGGAGGGGGGGGAGGCGGCGCGCGTCGCGACGCGGAATAAAGTACTCGGAGCGGAGGGGGCACGGGGCGGAGGGTCCCACTGGGGCGCTGGGGGCGCGGAGAGGAGGGGGGGAGGTGGCGTGCGTCGCGACGCGGAATAAAATTGTCGGGCGGAGAGGCACGGGGCGAAACCCATACTGGGGCGCTGGGGACGCGGGGAGGGAGATGGGGGAGGTGGTGTGCGTCGCGACGCTGAATAAAGCGTTCGTGGCGGAGGGGGCAATGGGCGGGGCTCTATCTGTGGCGCTAGGAACGCGGGGGGGGCTCGGGGCAGAGAGCCACGGCGCGGGGGTCCCACTCGGGCGCTGGGGATGCGGGGGGGGTGCGCGACGCGGAATAAAGCGCTCGTGGCGGAGGGGGCAGTGGGTCGGTGCCCCCGCTGGGGCGCTGGGGACGCGGGGGGGCTCGGGGCAGAGAGCCACGGCGCGGGGGTCCACTCTGGCGCTGGGGAGCGGGGGGGGGGGGGGGGGCGACGCGGAATAAAGCGTTCGTGGCGGAGGTGGCAGTGGGCGGGGTCCCCGCTGGGGCGCTGGGGACGCGGGGGGGCTCGGGGCAGAGAGCCACGGCGCGGGGGTCCCACTCTGGCGCTGGGGACGCGGGGGGGGGGGTGCGAAGAGGGAATAAAGTGGTCGGAGCTCTAGACACCCTGTGCAAGAGAATAAAGCCATTATATGGTCAAGCACATGTGGGTAATACAACAGCAGCGAAACCAACACCATATCAAACACAATAACAGCGACTACATGTACAACATCAATAAGGCCAACGACGGCAATGGCAACGTAACAACACCCACATCAGCATAAACAACAACGTAACCAAGAACAAACACATCGGTGAACATCCGCGACAAGCAAACACCAACATGTAGAACATGAAGGAGCGCATGTAGCAACAACATGTAGCCGCCATATCAGCCCTGCAAACGACATACACGACAATACGCATCAATGCACACACAACAACAATAACATCAAGCAAACCAACAATAAGAAAAACAATTGTGGCAACACGGCATACATGAGAACACAACGCAGCACCAAACCTAACAATTCCAACAACACCGAAACAACACGGGTAGCAGCAGGAACATATATAATGTGAACGGGAGTAAAAACAATGGCAATAAAACTGGCAAAAACACATGAGAAACCACCTCGGCACGAGCAGCAATCACACCAGCAATGCCGGCAGAAGTTTCCGATCGAGCAATCTTCAAAGGGCCAGGTGAGAAGCGCTTATGTAAAAACAGCTGCCACCGGGCAAAGGGGCCTGGACTTCTCGGGCCCTCCTGGGGTTCGAAAACAAGATGAGAGACCTGGGGCCCGCTTCCAGGCAAATCGTTGGACATGTAGCCGCGAGGCGGCATGGCGATGTCCTTTCCCTTCTCCCTCTCGTCCTCATCCTCGAACTCGTCCTCATCCTCTCCGTCTTCCTCACTCCACCTTGTGAGGAAACAATCGAATACCGATACAGTTGTGCCGTGGCCCTCTCCCCGAGCGCGTCCCGACTAGGACTTCAAGGCGAATCCAGCCGTGGCGACGGGTGGGAGCTATCGGTATCGCTGTTTTTCCTCGTCTGACCTCCCTCCTCCGTTTGTCCCTCCTCCATCCTCTCGAGTGGTGCCACGGGGCGGCAAGAGGGGCAAAGCGCACACTTGCACCAGCTCCAGCACCACAAGCCTCTACAGTATTCGGCCTGACCCAAGGAGCGATAAATAAGGAATGAAGCCCCTCTTTTTCCAAGCAAGTCTACGAAGTCCGAAGGAACATCAGAGGGGCTCGCCGCCATAAAGGTAGCAGAACGCATGCAAACCAAAGGAACGACCAAGCCCCTTTTGAAAAGTAAGTGTTTCTTATTCAAGCCGGACCCTGTATGGGGAAGGCCACCCTGTGCCCTGCCGTGCTCTGGGCCGATGTGACATATAGCACGACCTGTGCACCGCTCGCACAACCTGCGCACCGATGGCAATAGTTGTGGCTGTTGGGGTGCAGTTCGGCGAAAAAAATGGCACACACACACACACACACACACACACAGACACGCACACGCACACACACACACACACATGAGCCTTGGGAGGTCCGCGCGGATCTCGCGGAAGAAAAATGGCGCTGGACCGCCCTGGCTGCGCCTCCGGCCCCGCCCCTGGCGCGCTCAGCGCAGTCCAGCTCCGATCCAAGAAGTCCGCGAGGGAGCCACATGCGAACCCTATCCCTGCCCCCCTCGGAAATCGTGGGGGGCAGGGGTAGGGGTCGCATGTGGCCCCCCTATCGGCACGGACCTGCCAAAAGTTTACGTGTATGCATTGTTCTCCGAGCCTCGAGCCGACGTCTCCGTCTGCCCCGGGGGGGCCCATGCGGCAGGGGCGGAGAGGAAATCCCCGAGGCCGCTCGGAGAGGGGCAGGATCCGCCCACCAGCCGAATGGTGCGCACGAGCTTCCGCCACTCCTCCTCACCGTGCAATCTATCCTTCTGGCTTTCAGCACCGGCCGCCGAAATTCCCTTTTGCCCTTTAAAAATCAAGCGACTCGAGCCTAGAAGCGGACGCGATTCAGGCCTAAATCTCACCCGCCGAGTTCCCTAGAAGCAGACGCGATGTGAGCCTGAAGGGCACTGGGGGAAGAGGAGGAGCAGCAGCAGGGGCAGGAAGAGGCGGAGGTGGAGTTGGAGGAGGGGGGAGAGAAGAGGAGGGGGGTAAATGAGGGGGGAGGAGAAGGGGAGGAGGGAGGGAGTAGGGAGGCAGAGGATAGGGGGGAGGAGGAGGAGGAGGAGGAGGAGGAGGAGGAGGAGGAGGAGGAGGAGGAGGAGGAGGAGGAGGAGGAGGAGGGAGTTGGAGGAGGGGAAGGAAGAGGAGGGGGGAGGAGGAGGGAGTTGGAGGAGAGGGGGAGGGAAGAGGGGAGGGGGAGACGTCGCGTGGCTGTGACGGCCGTGCGGTCGGAACGATGATCTCTTACAGCTGGAAAATATGGGGAACGACGACGATGACGATGACGACGACGACCACGACGACCACGACGACCACGACGACCACGACGACCACGACGAGGCGGCGGAGGAGGAGAGGGCGGGGGAAGCGGGGAGGGCGGAAAAAGGAGAGGGGGGGGAGACAAAGAGGGTCGGAGGAGACGGGAGAGAAGGGGAGGGGGTGGAGAGGGGGGGTCGGAGGGGCGGAGTAGGGGTTGGAGGGGGGAGGAGGGGGGGGAGGGGTGGAGGGGGGGGAGGGAGGGGGGTGGAGAGGGGGGGCGGAGATGGGCAAAGGGGAGGGGGGTGGAGAGGGGGAGGGGGGGAGAGGAGGGGTGAGGGTAGGAAGCGGAGGAGAAGAGAGGAGGAGGGGAAGAGGTACAGGGGAAGAGGAGGACACACAATAAGAACAACCAGCTTACAATAATCACAAAAAAACTGAATATAATACTACTACGAAAAGAAGACAAAGACAATCTACGAATGTCATCACTAATGCAAAATATGATGATACTAATTATAATAATGCTAATTCTAATAGTAGTAGTAGTAGTAAGAACAATAATACGAATAATCATACTGATACTAAATATCATCATCACAATAATAATAATAATAACTAGACAAGAAGTGCGAAGAAGACGAAGAAGAAGAAGGCAAAGAAAAAAAAGACGACGGAGAAGAAGATGAAGCAGAAAGAGAGCAAGGAAGAGGCGGCGAGCGCAGCAGCGCCTCAGGGGACCCAGACGGACATCTGGCGGCTCATCCTGAGTCGTTCTCTGGTAGCCCTGGGGCCCGAAGCTGGCCCCCGAAGGCCCGGCAGTGGCGAAAACCCTGCCACCTCCACCTCCTCGTGGCGCCAGGGGCTGGGGGAGGTCTCCGCGAAGGCCCCTGGAGGCCCAAGGAGGTATCCGCGAAGGCCCCTGGAGGTCTCCGCGAAGAGGGCCCACCACGTGAAACAAAAAAGCCTTGACCCTCGACCTCATCCTCGTACTCGCCCGCGTCCTCGTCCGTCCACGTCCTCCCTCTGCCTCCCTCCACCTCCCTCCGCCTCCCTCATGGGGGGGGCAAAAAAAGACCGATGCCGCTACTCCTGGGACCGCTCCTGGGGTGCGCTCTGACCAAGACTTCGAGGCGAATCCAGCCATGGCGGCGAGAGACGGGCAGCGGCATCGGTACCGTCGGGCTGCTGAAATCAGGAACGCTAAATAAAGAACGAAGCCCTTCTTGGCCCCCAAAGCGCCTACGTAGACGAGGAGCGCCAGAGAAACTGCAACACGAGGACCTCAGGAAGAACGAGCCCCCTGCAAACCCAAACTGTTCATCATTTCAGCGTCGTAGCTGAATCTCTTCTGATAAACCACGAAAGTACCCCTGAGGGCCAGAAACACTAAGGATAGATGTGCCTTTTTGTATATATCTCATACGAAAGCCGCCCCGATGTTTAAGGGACATCCCCAATACCTGTGAAACTAAATAAGGCCACGAATTCATTGTCATTCTTAGGTCTAGGGATTGTATTCTGGCCAGGCCTGGGACAGAAGAACATCCTGCAAGAACATGCGACCTTCTGCCTGCCAAACTGAAGCGCATCCGAGGGCCCCCCCCCTCCCCAGGATGCACAAGAACACCCCACAGACACGAAGAACACGAGGGCACCCTCCCCGAACTGACCTCGCTCTTATGCCTCGGTCCGACTGTGCTGCGACCCCCCTGGGCTCTTCGCCCCCGCCGTCGTTTCCGAGAGAGGGCCGCGCCAGTGAGGGCGGCGGCCGCCGGGGGGCAGGGCTCAGGCCGCGGGCGGCCACAGGCGGCCGCCGCCGCGAGCAGGGCGGCCGCGCCCTAAGACGAAGGCAGGGGTCGAGACCAAAATCGGAGCGAAAGACATCCCCAGACATGCTCGCGCCGTACAATACCAAACATCAGGACGGGACGTTGTGCCTCGGTCTGCCTAATTTTTTGTTCGCCTGGCAAGCATCAGCAACGAGGCTGTTGCGTTCTCACATCCCACTCCCCTCCTCGTCCTCCTCCATTCCCTTTCCTCACGAATAACTTCTCCCTGTCGCACCCTGGGGCCAGTTTTTTGGGCGGGCCGGGCGTTTCGCCTGAGACTTCCTCACCATTTATAACTCTGAAGCTTAAAGATTGGCCATAGTTTCACCGATAGAGGGCGGGAGGTTTTCAAAATGTGGCTCTCGCCTCTGCGCCGCCGCATTCGCAATAAAAATGTGAAAGGAAATTCCCGGATTGAGAATCACCCGTTCTCAAAATGTGGCTCTCGCCTTAGCGTCGCGCACATTCGTTTTTTAAAACTGCAAGAGTTTCACGGATTGAAGGCGGCTCCTTTCAAAATGTTGCTCTCGCCTTGGCGCCGCGCACACTCGTTCATAAAATGTGGAAGAGTTTCACGGATTCCCATGATCAACGTACCAGAAATGGCGCTTTGGACAGATTCTGGATTTTGCGGGCGCAACAGTTACGTTGATTTACGGGATTGAAATCCCAAGAATAGTGTTCTGGCACGATCAAGGGTCGTCAAAACGCAACAGTCAGGTTGATCCGTGGCGTTGGAATCCCGAGAACAATGTTTTGGCATGCTTCCAGGTCTTCAAATGGTTGTCTTCCAACGAGGCAGGTCTCTCAATGGAAGTGAACCGTTGTAGGGGCCGATGAAGAGAGAGCTTGGAGGGAGGGTGGATTCCAACATCGATGATGGCTCCTGGGTTTACACTGGTCCTCCTCCTCCTCCTCCTCGTCCTCCTCCTCGTCTTCCTCCTCGTCCTCCTTTTCCTCCTCCTCATCATCATGATCAGCAGTATCACCATCGACAAACAGGATCATCATCAGCATACATCACCATCGTCATCATATCATCAGCATCATCAGCAGCATTATCAGCATCATCAGCATCATCATGAACATGAGCATCATCAGTATCATCATCACCACCACCACCATCATCATCATCAGCAGCAGCATCATCAACCAAAATCTTCATCATCATCACCACCATCATCTTCCTCATCATCTTCCTCATCACCATCAGCATCATCATCATACTCCTCCTCCTTCTCCTCCTCCCTCTGCTCCTCCCTCCTCGTCGCCGGCATTGTCGTCTCGAGGGGGGGGGGGGAGTGAGGTACGCCTCCATGGGGACGGTGGTGCCGTCGAGCCCCTTCTCCTCGAGCAGCCGGGCCCAGCGCGCGCGGGGCCCCGCCGAGCGCCCTCTCCTCCTCCTGCTCCTGCTCCTGCTCCTGCTCCTCCTCCTCGTCCTCCTCCTCCTCCTCCTCCTCCTCCTCCTCCTCCTACTCATCATCATCATCATCATCATCATCATCATCATCATCATCATCATCATCATCATCATCATCATCATCATCATCATCATCATCATCAAATTGCGATCCTCGATCCTCGCTCCTCGCTGCTCGCCCCTCGCCCCTCGCCCCTCGCCCCTCGATCCTCGATCCTCGATCCTCCTCCGCATAGTCCACATCATCCTGCCCCTGTGCCGCTCAGAGTTGCTGCTACGCCTCCTCCTCCCCCCCAAGTCTCCTCTTCAGTCTCTGCATTGCTCCCCTCCTTGTCGTCCATGTCCTCCTCCTCCTCCTCCGCCTCCTCTTCCTCCTCGTCCTCCTCCTCCTATTATTACAGATTGTCGTCGTCATCATCACCACCACCGTCACCATCATGATCAAGATTATAATAATGATGCTCCAATTCATGTTCCTCATCTTCCTCCTTCGTCTCCTCATCCTCATCATCATCACCACCATCATCAGCATCATCAGCACCATCATCATCATCACCATCATCATCATCATCATCAACAACATCATCATCATCATCATCAGCATCAGCATCAGCATCAGCATCAGCATCATCATCATCATCATCATCATCATCATCATCATCATCATCATCAACATCATCAGCATCGTCATCGTCATCATCATCAACAACTTCAGCATCATCATCATCAGCAGCATCAGCATCGTCATCATCATCACTACCACCATCACCCAATCACCCCATCACCCCATCACCCCATCACCACAACATTCCATCACCACATCACCCCATCGCCTCATTACCGCATCGACCCATCACCCCAGCACCCCATCAACCCATCACACCATCACTCCATCACCGTAACCAGCATCATCATCAGCAGCATCAGCATCAATAAACAAATCATCATCGGCATGCATCATCATCAGGAGCACATCATCAGCATATTCAACAGCATCATCAGCAGCATCAGCGATCCGCATTATCAACATCATCATCGTCATGGTTAACGACATCAGCATCATCATCATAACCACGATCAGCATCCGCCATCCATCGGCAGCAGCATCATCAGCAGCATCAGCATCCGCATCATCATCAGCAGCGCACTTACCATCACCACTTACAGTGGCATCAGCATCTTCATCGTTATCATCATCAGCAGCAGCATCAGCATCAGCATCATAAGCATCATCATCACCAACAGCATCATCATCAGCAGCATCATCATCAGCAGCATCATCAGAATCATCATAACCATCACGATAAGGAATGATAATCAGCATCATCTACATCGACATCAGCATCATCATCGACGTCATCCGCATCATCGTCGTCATCATCGTCGTCGTCATTACCATCCTAATCATCATCAACCACAACACCGTCATCATCATTATCATCAGCACCAGCATCATCATCGTCATCATCACACTGGTAATCATCATCACCATCACCACCACCATCACCAATTCCATTATCGTCCACATTCGCATCCTTATCATCATCATCCTCATCCTCATCCTCTCTAACCTCATCATCATCAGCACCATCAGCATCACCATCATCAGCATCAGCATCATCATAGTCGTCGTCAACATCATGAACATCATCAGCAACATAATCGGCAACCATAAGAATCATCATCATCACCATCACCCCACCACCACGATCATCATCATCATCATCGTCATCGTCATCGTCATCAGCATCATTATCATCATTATCATCATCCTCATCAGCATCCTCATCCTCATCCTCACCCTCCCTAACCTCCTCCTCATCATTATCACCATCAGCATCAGCATCATCATCATCCTCATCCTCATCATCATCAGCAGCAGCAACATCATCCACACCCTGTCTCATTTCTTGATCCGGCCCTTGCTCCTTCTAAGAATGTACTCCCACTCGGCCACTTAGCCGGCCGGTGGCAACCCAATCTGGGTGGCCCTATCCTATTTGTCAAACAAGCTGTTGTCTCACCATGCACAATCCGGTAGAGGGGAACATCTACTGAACACTCCCCCAAAAAAAAACTCAAAGCTTGCACGCGCGGGGGAGACTGCGGTCGAGGTGCAACTCATCAGTCCCGCCGCCAACTTTGAACATTGGGAGGGGGGGGGCGTTGACAGATGAACGTGGCACGAGTGTTCGCCATTTGTTGTCCGAGGCCTTGTGCGTCGGGAGTGTGACTGGCCCCACATCCCGCGCGAAAGGCCGAAGAGTCGCTCTCGCCTTTTCGGGAGCGGCCAAGAGGGGGGTGTCCAAGAGGGGGGGGTGCAAATCATGACTGGCGGCATGTGCGCGGCCCAGCGGGGGGGCCAGGGACGTAATGGAATAAGAAGGGGCGCCATGAAATCTGGGGAAATATCATGGCCCCCGCCATGATATCCACACCCCCCTAGTCATCATCCCCCTCTTTTCCGCCCCCGACCTTTGCGCGGCGCTCATTTTTCTGCAAGGTGCACTTCCCGCCCGGGCGCGGCGCACATCTGTCGCACGCGTCCTCGTCGACGCGCGAGCGGACGAACATGTAGTTCTCGTCTCGGCGCCCCGCAGATTTCGCCCCAAAGTGGCGGTCCCCGCCTCGATGCGGCGCACATTTGTCACTCGCCAGCTTCTGGGGGGGGGGGGGCTCGCGCGAGAGGGCGACGTGCCGCCCTCGCCCAAGTTCCGCGCCTATTTCACTTGGAAGTGATGCTCCAGCGCGGGCGCGGCGCACGGCTCGTTCGCCAAAGCGCACGGAAGCGGCAGCAGCAGCGGGGCCGCGCGAGCGCGGGCAAAATGCCGACCTCGCCCGAACGCCGCGCAGCTTGCGAGTGAAAGTGGCAACGCTGTGTCAGCGCGGCGCATGCTTCGTCTTCGCCGCGCCCAACTGACATTGTGCCGATCCCGCCCCTGCGCGGCCAGTGTGGTTTTCTCGTCGCCAAGTCGCCGGAAACGGGACTGTGCGCGAGCACCTTCCGCTTTCGAGGTGGGAGCGCGTTCCAATCCCAAGATCAAGTTGTGCCACAGCTGATGTTCTGAATGATGCTGCGGGATGGAAGGCGAGAGCCCCTCTCCCTCGCTCGACCTGGCTAACCTGACTCCTACTCCTGCTCCCCTCTGTGGGCGGCGCGCGAGCTGGCCATCCTGGCCGCCGACAGCGCGGAGGACTCGCGCGCCATCGGCCGGGCCCCAGGGGGCCGTGCGGGGCCTGGTTGGCCTGCTGGCCAGCGGCGCCCCTGGCGCGCAGGAGTGGGCGGCGGGAGCGCTGGCCAAGCTGGCCGCCGACGCCGAGGGCCAGCGCACCATCCTCGCGGCCAGCGTCGAGGGCCACGCGGGGACGCTGAGGATCCACTCCACCTCCTCACGGCAAACACCTTCTCAGGACGCTGAGGATCCACTCCACCTCCTCAGGACGCTGAGGAAAGAGTTCTGATGATCCACTCCACCTCCTCACGGCAAACACTGCAGGAAGAAGGGCGGCGGTCTCGCCCTCGGTGAGGGGGGCGCTGCGCTGCCGCGCTACCGCTCTGGTCTCCGTGTGCAGCAGGCCTCCTCCTTCCCCTCCCTCTCCTCCTCCAACTCCTCCTCCTCCTCCTCCTCCTCCTCCTCCTCCTCCTCCTCCTCCTCCTCCTCCTCCAGATGTGGGGCCACGTCTTCCTTGATGGCTCGTGTTCTCGACGGGTGGTCCGCAGCTCGAACAGAGCTGGTTGGGGTTTAGCGATGATGGGCCCCCGTGCAAATCTTCTAGCTTGGAGCTGGGGCCCCGTGTGGGACAGTTGCCCCCAGACTCCCCAGGCTGGTGAATTTTCGGCTTATGCCATGGCGTGCGCTTTCTTGTCTGCACCTGCTATTCTGTATTCAGATTGCCAGAATGTTGTCTCCACGCACGGCATGGCCCGACACCAACAAATCTCACCCAAGCGTCCTTATGCGGGGCTCGTCGCTCAGGGTCGTTCTCTTGGAGGAAAAAGGACGCTTGGGTGTGAGAAAGTGCCTGCGCATCTTCCCATAGACGATCCAGAGATCGACGATGACGAGCGTTTTCGAAGGATAGGAAATGATTTCGCCGATAAGGCCGCCAAGCTGGGAGCTGAGTCCCACCAGGCGCCGTCGGAGGATATAGCAAACGCATGCACTACTCTTGTGAATTCGGCGCTCATGGCGGTCAGACTGTGTGCTGCTCTTCTGCCGCTATGGCCGCGCACGGACCTCTCCCGTGCCTCGTGGTCTGCCCCCGCTCAGGCCCCCCGCTCCTCAACCCCGCCTCATCGGTGGGAGTGGCTCGGGCCTCCTGGAGGGGACCAACGGTTTTGGATTTGTCAAGGGTGCCTCAGGACGTCGCGCAACGCCGCCGACAAAGAGCCTGCCCCTGGACATTGTTCCGATTCTATGAGAGTGGATGTTCGGCGGCTTAGAGATTTAAACCACAAGTGTATCCTACTGGATTGTTCGAACGGTTCGTTTGTTGTCGTTTGTACGCTTTGCCAGAGATACACTAGTGGAGCCCGTCTTGCATCATTCAACAAGATTTGTCCAGGTCAGAAGGTTTCGGTTTACAACTCTGACGCCTGGAACAAGATCTGTAAGGGACTCCATCCCAAAGCGAAAGGGGTCACCTTACTCTCTGACACTTTCAGTGTGCTTTAAGCATACAGCGAGAGCCACAGTGCTCAAAAAAAATCCTCCTCCTCCTCCTCCTCCTCATCATCATCATCATCATCATTCTCCTCCTCCTCCTCCTCCTCCTCATCATCATCCTTCTCCTCCTCCTCCTCCTCCCCCTCCTCCTCCTCCTCCTCCTCCTCCTCATCCTCATCATCATCATCACCACCACCACCACCACCACCACCACCACCATCATCATCATCATCATCATCATCATCATCATCACCATCATCA